AGTGACCCTGGAGACTACCACCAATGAAATAATAGACCAAACCAAGTTTTTATAGTAGTGAGGTATCGAAAATCGAAATGGTGTATTTAAGTGTTTTACACTCACAAAAAAGAAACCTACTTGTTGTTAAACAAATGTTTAAACAATTCTATCAAATTATGTACTATTGTCGAGTGTCGGCTAACAATACGAAGAATTAAATTGTGACGAAATGCTACAAGTCCTTCAAATACCTATAGAATGATAGGTTTCGTTTTTGTTAGTGTAAAACACTTAAATACGCCATTTCGAAACAAACACTCAATTTTATGTTTGAGAAGTCCTTTAAGCTAACCCATAGTGAGAATTCAAACTTTATTAATGAAACAGTAGTTCCACTCTTTGTTCCCCGTCACCGATCATGTCCGTCCTTTTAGCTGTGGGGGCGTTATAAAGTGACGGTCAATCCCACTATTCGTTGGTAAAAGAGTAGCCCAAGAGTTGGCGGTGGGTGGTGATGACTAGCTGCCTTCCTTCTAGTCTTACACTGCTAAATTAGGGACGGCTAGCGCAGATAGCCGTCGTGTAACTTTGCGCGAAATTCAAAAAAACAAACAAACACTTATATCTTTGTTGGCACTGTTACTGGAGAGTAACACACTTATATCTTTGTTGGCACTGTTGCTGGAGAGTAACATGTAGATGCAATATTCTATTATATCAATGTTCGGAGTGCGTGTGATTGGCGTGAACATGGAATATTATCTTTCAGCTCGTTTCGTAATGAAGATAGTATATACGACGACACGAAGTCCAAAGCTGTAGGGCTAAAGCTGCGAAGTTAGATTCCACTGTAATTTAGGTACGCATTAAAACTAGGTTCCGAATACTAAAGCCATAAAAGCAAGTTTCACTCAGTTTTAGTAAAATTTCTCAGGATTATTGTCTATAAAGCTGAGAATAACAAACACCTTTCAAAAAGCTATGAAGTTCCTTCTAAATAATTTAACAAAATTTTCAAAATTGTTACAAGTGGAAAAAGTCGTTTTTTACAACATCGACCTGCAGACGTTGTGAAAGTGTAACGGATAAATTTGGATTATTTTCAACAAGTAACAAATATAACTTAAAGAAATTCTTTAAAGAATGCCTTGTCTCAAGCTGTTTTTTACAATGGTTGCATTCCTGAATTTGTTGCTTTTTCTATTGACATGCTGTGCAAGAGTGTATGAAGATTCGACTGTTCTTAGTCAGCATGCTTCGGTTAAAATTTTACAGGTCAAGGTTTTTATACCGCAATCGTCATCTTTTTTGTTCAGTATTCCTCGTGTGAGACCCGCCATTGAGCTGGCAAAACAGAAAATAGAAGCCGAAAAACGTCTTCCTGCGTGGAATCTTGTGTTTTCCTATAAGGATTCTCAGTGTAGCAGTACGCTTGGTCCACTTCACGCAGTCACTGCCTTTGCCGAAAACAACGTCCACTTGTTTCTAGGGCCGGTATGTGACTTTTCTTTGGCGCCCATCGCTAGATGGCTCAAATATTGGGACCTACCTTTGCTCTCTGTTGGTGGTCTTTCAAGTGGCTTTGGAAAGAACAAATCCCACCCAAAGAGTGACAGTTATCTTCTCACTCGAATGAGCCAGACTTTCAATGGCGTCAATGATCTGTTTTTTTTCGTCATCCAAAAGTTTGGATGGCGCAAGGTATTCCTAGTTTTCGAGATTACAGGAAGACCAAAACTATCAAGTGATAAATTCTGCAAAGCCTTTATTGAAGGTGTGACAGAAAAAATAATAAAGTACAGTTCCCACCAAATGCCAGAAAATCCAACGAGGGAACAAATTAGAAAATTATTGAAAAACAAGATTGGTTTCGAGTTTGGAGGTAGGTAAATTTTTGATTTTATTTAGGAAATGGTGAGATTTACTTCATAAATGTATGAAAGTGTTTTTTAGCGATATAGGTTGGATGAATACTGTATGAATAATATATACATATATCTTGTATTAAACAAACTTTTGCCTCTTAGCTGCACAAAGTTAACACACGTTTCTTTAAACGTTTTTATAGCCTGAAGCTTTTTAGTATAATAAAATTACAATACATTTAAAAATCAAAAGTATAATGAAAACCGTCTTCTAAAAAAAAGTAATGGTTATAAAAATATATTTATTGATATAATTTATGAATACACAATGAATACAATATAAGTTTGTTTGTTTTAAATTTCGCGCAAAGCTGCACGAGGGCTATCTGCGCTAGCCGTCCCTAATTTAGCAGTGTATTCACCCACCGCCAACTCTTGGGCTACTCTTTTACCAACGAATAGTGGGATTGACCGTCACATTATAACGCCCCCACGGCTGTTTGGTGTGACGGAGATTCGAACTCGCGCCCTAACCACCTGGCCATGCCGGGCCGAAGTACAATATTACTGATCTTCTTATACTTATAATTGGACCTTCAAATGATACAGGTTTCGAAACATGGAGTACATCAAAACGAGGTGTAATGCAAAAGACAGAAAACTGTAAAAAAGAGAATACTTTCTCATAAAGAATTTGTCAAGAAGAGAAGAGGATACGTAGATAATTTATTATATTATAACCAAAACACTGAAAACATAATATGACTAACTTATATACAACATACACATAGACACATCACTCGAGCGTAAACTTGATAAAGTCAAATTACTACTGTAGTAGCCTAGTCAGTCGAAAGTATCTTTTATGACTTGTCTCTGATCGTCTTTTGCAGACCTGTTTTAGTGTAGACATAATACTTTAATATAAGACACACAGTTAGAAGTACTTTTGAGGAAATGCGCAGAATTCAACACTGGTTTGATTGCGAAGTTATTGCGAAGTCTGAACGTATTTCGGTTTTAACAAAAGAACAACTTGAAATTATCAAAATGAACTGAAGAAGTATACATACCTCTGTTAAGTGACTTACTCCGTTAGGTGTCAAAGCTATGCAAAGAACACAATATAAAGGGGCAGAATTCTACCTTTCTATCCCCATCTCTCAAGTGAAAACAATGTGTGTACTCAGGAATCGTGTTAGATTCAGCTGAGATTATCTTCAATCGAATGATTTATTATCATTTAAAATATTTTGAATTCAGCAAAAATAAGCATGAAATAAAAAAAAACTACTTTAATTCCTTGATGTTCAAGGCTCTAAAAGTAATAAAATTCTATCTATGTTCATAATACTAACACTTTTAATAATATGTTTATCTGATTTCCAGAAGAAGAATTCGCGAACGATTTGCTTACAATCAAAATTAATGAATTTATTAATTAATTAATAAAATTAGAGCTAACCTAATTTTTCTAAGTATTAATTGTGATAACCGATCCCTTAAACATGCATAAATACAGTTGGAAAATTGTGTACCGGTTATAATTTTTAGTGCGATTTTGCGATGAAACAAATTAATATTTATTACCCAGTGTCATTCACAGGGGGTGGCTGGGTGGGTTCAAGCCCCTGTTGTTGTACTTCAAAAGTGCTCTTATTTCAGTCATAAAACATTCTCAACAACTGCTGAAAGATACCCTGATTTTACACCCTCCTTGCTGCGAATTGATAGGAAGAAAAAGAAAAAAAAAGATTTAGCTTTAAAATTAATGGTACGCAGGAACTTATAGGACTTACAGTGAAAAAAATAATAATTGTAATATGCTATTAAGTGTTAATACGCAAGAATTAAGTGTCTAGTTTTAGGTTTTAAAAGGATTTATAAGACAGGTTTAATAGGAATAAATAAGTATGTATTTGTTTCCTATGACTTTTTACCCTATGTGTAACAGAGGCAACCCATCAGTCCTCATAGTCTCCGCTGACACCTTCCCCCCTCCAAAAAAATTCGCATGGATGCAAATTCTTCTTCTGTCGAGAGACGGTTGGACAAATGAAAACATTTGTTTTGCTGCCAAATATGAACAAAAGTACTATAAGTCTTATAAAAACTTCAAATAAAAAACAGAGAATTTTTGCGTAATAACACTTCATAGCTTATCACATTTATTATTTTTATTGTAAATATTTACAAGTCTCTGTGTGCAATTCATCATAAAGCTAACATTTGTTTTGTTAATGAGCCCTTGTCCTTTTGATTTCCTCTTCACGTTACTCTCATTACCCTTTATATGTGTCACTGTTGCAGGACTACTTCACGTCACTGGCATTACCCTTTACATGTGTCACTATTACAGGACTACTTCACGTTACTGTCATTATCCTTTACATGTGTCACTATTACAGGACTACTTCACGTTACTGTCATTATCCTTTACATGTGTCACTGTTGCACGACTACTTCACTGCTCTTAAATCACATTAATGGAATAAATACCAATTTTGTTTACTTCGGTGTATACAAGAATTAGTCACCTATAGAAATCCTAGATAAAAAAAAGTGCAGAATTAAATCGTATAGTGTATATACTCTAAAAATAACAAAATAATTAATGTTTTTTTTTTTTTGAATAATGGAACAATTGTCGTCTATCTTTATTACCAATTATCACATTTAGCGGAGGACAATCTCTGGTATTATTAGAGCCTTGAATGTTTAACTTGTTTTCTTTTTTTGTGTGTGAAATTTTAAGCCTAAGTTTTCGTTTTGATTATAAATAACACGTCATCTAATACTAGAACAAAAACGTTTAAATGCTTTATCGAGCATGTGACACCTATCAGTGTTGATTTATTAAATTGTTTACATTTCAAAAGTTTGTGACAGGTAGGCTGATGGAAGATCAAATATGGCTGGAAGTTGATAAAATTACCAGTCATCTGCTTAGCTCAGAAAATAAGAAAGAAAACAAAATAGTAAAAGTAGTTTCTATACATTTATACCCTTTGAGAATTAACGTCAGAATTAAAAAAAGAAAAAAAGCCAAAAACAACAACAAGAAACAATCGTTCGTTGGCCGCCGTGCGCAAGCGCAATAAGCTTAGCCTTCATACTGCCGCAACAGTTTTCGGGAAGGCGCCAGAAACGCCAACCATCGTTTATCTACATTTCATTTAGTATCTCCCAGAGTGACAGGCACTGTACTGAGAGGCCCCTCTTCATCTGTGCGGATACAGTTAGCAAGATTCGAGCTATTAATGAGTTCGGTGAAAGTAATGACGTCATCTTGCCAATAACACACATTAAACTGTATGACAAATACTTGAAACTCAGTTTCGGTTTCTTGAACTTCGAGATTTGAAAAAATATTCTTATAGGACTTTTGTTCTATTCTTGGCAGCAAAACAAATATTTCCATTTATCCAACCATCTCTCGGAAGGGGAAAACAATTACATCCATCCACAATATTCTTCCTTTTTATAAAATTTCAGTATTCATTGTAAGTGAGCGTTCTTCATCTTCTATTTTGTTTTTATAATAGAATAAAACTATGTTTAAGTTGTGTTCTATTCTATTTCTGGGAGGCTTGGTTTTAGATATGACTTTGGGATTGTTTTCTTCAGAATTTGTCAGAGGGTCTGATGGATCTTTATCAGGCAATACAATCCAAGTTGCAGTGACTTTGCCCAAAGCTACTTCTTTTTTGTGTAGCATTTCCCGAGTGCGCCCAGCTATTGAATTAGCAAAAAGGCAGATTGAGGAAAAACATTTACTTAGAGGAAAGAAGCTTAAGTTTCTATACTCAGACTCCGAGTGTAGTAGTGCAGTGGGACCCTTACATGTGGTGACTTCTTACGTCCAAAAGGATGTCCAGTTATTTTTAGGTCCAGCCTGTGATTATGCTGCTGCCCCCGTTGTTCGCTGGCTCAAATACTGGGACCTTCCACTGCTAACATCAGGAGCTTTGGCTGGAGATTATGGTCACCAAAGAACAGACCCTAATGCAGAATACTACCTGCTAATTCGCACTGGCCTATCTTTTAACAGTGTAACGGAATTTATTCTATCAACTTTTGCCAAGTACAGGTGGGAGAAAACAGCATTAATTTACCAGGCTTCTGGTCGTCCTGATTTGACGAGTGACAAATTTTGTTATTTGTACACCACTGCTGTCGTAGCTGGCCTTCGAGCTCTAGACTTCACCTTCAACTTTGTTTTAGAAAAATTACCAGAAAAAGCCTCCAGAAATCACATAAAAAACTCTTTAGAGGAAAAAGTTGGGACAGATTTTGGAGGTAAGTGCGGAGTTAAAATTGACTTCATGGGTAAACCTTACCCAAAGAAATAAACTATTTAGCAATAATTTCTATTTAATTAAAGAGCAGAAGTAAAAATAACGACTTTATAAATAGTGTAGCTAATTTTATATACCATGTGGCTAAGACTGTGAAATGTTATAAAATAAATCACAATAAAAACTATGTAATGATATTAAATTATTTATTAGTAAGTTGGAAATAACAAATATAACATTTTGATTTAATGATGATTACCAAACAAACCTAATTGAATATCTTTCTTCTGGTGGCTAACTTGATAAAACTGTTTAAAGAGTAGTTAACATAAGCCTATAATGACTCTTGCTACCGAAAAATTGATTTTTAGTGTTGTTGATGCGATTGTTATATAAACTTTATGAAGGGATATATGAATTTTTGTTACAATTTGAAACATAAAAGAAATTCGTTATTTTAACTAAAATATATTGAAACAAGAATGATCAGGAAAACGATATCATTACAAACACTTAAATAGTATGTGACACTCAGATATTATCTTCTAACAAAGTATAATTTAATAGTATGACACTCAAGTATGAGGATATTCTAGTGCGGTAGAATTTCATAGTTTATTACTGAAATATGAAGATATTCTAGTGATGTAGACTGTAATAGTTTAGTACTGATATATGATATTCTAACCAATTAGAAGGTAATAATTTGTTACTGAAATATCACGATATCCTAACGCAGTAGAATTTAATAGTTTGGTACTGAAATATCACGATATTCTAACACAGTAGATCCTAATAGTTTTGCACTCAAATATCATGACATTCTAATACAGTAGAACCTAATAGTTTCACACTAAAATATCATGATATTCTAGTACAGTAGAACCTAATAGTTTCACATTCAAATATCACGATATTCTAGTACAGTAGAACCTAATAGTTTCACATTCAAATATCATGATATTCTAGTACAGTAGAACCTAATAGTTTCACATTCAAATATATCTTAACTTGATGAGGTTAAGAGTAGTATATATGAGTTTTTAATGTAGTGAAAAAACAAAACAAATAGTTAGACTTTCGACTTAAAGGTCAAGCGCTGACCAGTGGCAAGTGTGCCGGATGTTCCATCC